TCCAGACTGTTAGAGCAGCACAGCAACAGAAACAAATAGCTGGGAGGTCGTGGGCTCTTAGGCATTTAAGCGGCAGCTGGACAGCCATTGGTCAGGGAAGCTTTAACCTGGAGTCCTGCACTGAGCCCTCTGGCCCCTTCCAACTCTACTGTTCTATAATTATATAAGAAGTAGAAAAGGAAAGTTTTAGCTTTGAATGGACAAAGTATGAGAAGAAGTTCTGATCCTTGAGAATGGAGCATGATGACACTTCAAGGTCTGGACTGAAATTTCATACAGGCAGGTCCTGAATCTGGTTTAGGACTGTCCGACCTAGCTAAAGAAGACTCTTGTTCAGACACGAAAGGTCCAAAGGACAGTAACTGCCATACATGTGAGTAAGCAACGGGGGAATAAAATGGAAGCTGTAAAGTCGTGTCGTTAGAAAAGATGCAAGGGTAGGATGGAAGGTCATGAATGAAGGAATGTTGCGATTGGTGCAGGTTAAGGCTGGAATGTGCAGCTTCTGAATTTGATTCCACCTAACAGTTAAGGGTAACACTGCCATGGAGCACCTGTAATCAGGCAGTCACAACATCCCATACAAAATCCAAACAGAAGTATGGTTGACAGTGACACATGGTTAGTCTGTCTGTCTGTCTGTCTGTCTCTCTCTCTCTCTCTCTCACACACACACACACACACACATCCCACTAAATTCTAGATTCTATTGTTTCTTGGTATTCCTTTCTTCCCTGCTTTGCTTCTGTTCTGTTGCCCTGGGAACCAACCCACTCAATCCCATCCTGTCCCCTCCCTCCAGCAGGATTGTTCTGGGTATGCCCAGGGACAAACTTTATGAACTGCCACAGGATCAATGGGTTGGGGGAAGAGAGCCAAAATCACCTTCTTAATAAAAACTACAAATTATAATGCTACTACTGTTGTGTTACTACAGGTGTGTAACTAGACCTTCCCTTCTCACCCGATACAATAAACCATTTCCCAAAATGTGCTGTACCAATGGGGAAACTGACCAATCAACTTGAACTCCAGCAAAGTTTGTGAGAAACAGAACAGATAATGGGCTGTTTCACATGATCTCTGCAGCCCACTGTGGTGGGCTGGGGTGTGTGTGGCCATTTGAATTTTAAAAATCCAGTGGGGAGCCGCCATGGTTTGTTGCATCATCCAAACCCAGGTGGCAGGGGTTGTTCACAGATTAAACAACACCGCAATCGCCTACAACAGACCATGGGTTATTGAGGATTGTTTAATCTTCCAGCAACCCTGGCCACCTGTGTTCAGATGACACAAGCTATAGCTTAAATATGGTGGCTTGCTGTGGCTTAAATTAGGCACGACAAGCCACAGGGATCACACAAACCAGATCATTACCTATCAAACTGCTGGAAGTCACTCATCAATACGTAAATTCATAAAAATAAGCAACTTTGTAGGCTTTCTACCTCAAAATTGGCATGGACCATCCTCAGCCTGACCTCACCTGCACTGCTCAATGTCAGTTCAATCCATGGAGCCATTTAGAGCATAAGCCAAACCTAAGGACCCCCTCCCCCAATTTCTGACTATAAAGTGGGAATCTGATTCATCCAGCTCAGATGATGATGAAGAGGACACTGAAGATGAAAATAGCTTTTTTCTTTTCTTTTCATGTATAAGCAATGCTCTAGTCCAGGGGTGGGCAATTAATTTTCCTATGGGGGCCACATGAGAAACTTTGACAGTTGTTAAGGACCGTACCAATACACTTACAGCTCTGCTCAATATATATCTCTATAAAAACAGTAAATGAAACATTACAATGATACAATGAAAATGTGGAGCACAGAACACTATTTAATGAATATTCACAAAAATATTAACATTAACATTACATGAAAAGCAATAAATTCAATTCAATTTAGCAGATCCTTCAAAATAAAAGCAGTGCAGTTGTATTGCTTGCGTCTATATTACGATGATATAATTTGCATTGACTTTTAATTTGCCAGTGACCTCATATGGGCCAGTCAGGGTCAGCCATTGGGCCGGATGTTGCCCACGGGCCATACAATGCCCAGGTCTGCTCTAGTCCAGTATTTTGCATCATCCTTATTAAACATGTGTGGAGCCATCACTAGCTCAAGAAAATTGCCTTGAGGAACAGGTGCAGCCTGTGGACAATTCACTGCTTGTCTCTGAGCTGTGGTATAGATAGGGACATGGATAGTTGCTCTGTGTGAGATCAGCCTATTTGTGCATTTTGCCCCATATGATTTGCTCTGATTGGCAGCAGCTCTCTGGTGTCTCAGATGGGGTCCCCCCCACGCTCATCCCTGCTAAGCAGGAGGTTGGACTGAAGGCCTGCTCCACTGTGCAAACCGTGTGCTCTGCCACGGAGCTCGTCTCTCCCCAATCAATAGAAAGACTGATGGCCCAATAGGGTAAGATAAGTTAAACATTAAATTTTGAAAATATCACCAGGAATCAAGGAAGTGTTGCTGGCTGTGGAAGACAGTTATTTCTGTTGCAGTGTTTATTCAACCATGTGAACAGTGAATCAGTAACAAACTGTACATTCTTAGGAATTCCTTTTGAGAGAGAGACACTTCTGGGACATTTAGAAACGGCTTTCCATATTTCACGAGGAACTAAGGAGACATTGGTCTCCATTTTGTAGCCATTTATCTGCATTTTATGATCACACTATGCAGTTTGTAGCTCATACTTGAAGAACACATATAATTCCTGCCCCTAAATTCTCTAGGCATGTATTGTTCATTTTCACAACAGCTCTGAAATAGATTAGTTCTGTTGAAATCTATCAATGATAAATGTGTAGAATCTGTCACTTTAATTGCTTGCTGGTTATTTCTGCTTCCATTCTCATTTCTGATGCATTTTGCCTTTTGTTATAGACCTTATAGCAGAATGATGTTGTGCAATGGAGTTGTCACCTGCCTTGGAAGGGCATTAGGGTCTTCCTTCAGGGAATTTCTCCAACATTGTGTCTATGGGAGCCAGTGGGTCCTTGGATGCCTCTCTTGGTGCCTGCCAATCCCCCTGTTCCTCCTGATTTTTATCTTATGTCTTCAGGTTCATTTTAAAATCCCAAACATCTCCCCCCCCCCACCCCCAAGGGCTAGCATGTTGCAAAGAGAAGTGTTGCTCTCCAGTTCCATCTTTGTTTGGGTTCAAAAGAGTGGTTTTGTGTCTTGGAACTCAGGCCTCTCTCTGCCTTCTGCTTTTCTTTTAGTCTCAGCAGTTCATCTACTGAAATTTAGTGTTTTGGGACTGTCAGGATCTAACGCCTGGTCACAGCTCCCATGGTGCTGTGATGATGAAGCACAGTTAACCCTGCAAGTAACTGCAGGACCAGGATCAGACTCATAGGTTTTTGCAAGGATGGGAGCCCATGCAATCATGCTGGAAGCCCTGAAAGGGCCTGTAAAAGGGGTCCCTTCGGTGCTCAGCTTTGCTACAGGAACTTGGGCTTTCATGGTGTCTACATCGTGCTTCCAGTCATGGTTCCAGCCAGGCTGCCAGCCATGCCTTGTCTTCTGCCTGCCCCTGCTCCTTGCTCTCTCTGACCTTGCCTGGCTCCTGGTTCTGCTTTGCCTTGGTGGCATTTGACCTCAGCTCTTGTCTGGACCTTGCTTTTGCCTCCAGTGCTTCCATGCCTTGCTGATCTCTTCCCTCTGCCTGTTCCTGGCTCTGCCTTTGGCCCTGCCATGCCTTGCTGGATATCTGACCCCTGCCTGTTCCTCACTTTGCCTTTGCCTCTGGCCCACTGCATTCTGCTGAAACTTGCATGGACCTCCCTTTGCCCTGGTCCTGGTGCCCCACCTGTACACACCTGCCACCTACCTCCTGGACCTGACAATGGCAGCCATTTTATGACTGGGTACCCTGTACTTCCATTGGCAGCTATTTCATGAGAGCGCGCCCGTGAAACTTTCCAAACCCCAAATACGTTCACCAACCCACAAAGGGGTGGGGGCCCTGTTTAGTGTATAGGCTCAGGGTAGAGGCACAACCAAGCAAATATTTCACATGGTAATGTTAATTCTTTCCTCACAGGCTGACTGCAAACTTAGCTTTTCTCAGAAGATTAGATGCGGTAGTAGAGCTCTCGTGTCCGGAGTGTGTGAGCGCACTTCTCCTTTCCCAGGGGAAGAGAACAGCATGAGCAGAGCTCCACTTCACTCAAACAGAGCATCAACAGGTGTCCGATGTTTCTGTGATACTCGGTCACATGGAGTCAGCACGACAGGCAAATAATTGCACGAAAGGCAAACGCGGGGACTGGGGCCTTGGAGTGGTGGCAGCAGCCAGATCTACCTGGGACACATAGATGGGTGCACATCCCAAGTTATGGATATCAGAGGGGAGAGCTCGGCAATGGGGCATGGGTAGCCTCGTGCTAGGACGGGCCCCACCGGAAGTGGGATCAACGCTTCTCTCAGTTTAACCCTGTTGCCTTCTAAAGCTCCTTTGTTTGCATGACTCTGTACAGCTTAGCAGAACAATAACCGGCTCAGGATGCTGGCACCATTTGAGGGTGGCTGCTGGAGCTACTGTAAAATGGGGTGGGGTGGGGTGCGCGCTCTTGCAGGCTGCTGCACGACCTACGAATGATTCTGCACCTGCAGCCTGGGTTCTGCACGTGACTGGGTTCTGCACAGCTTTGCAAGAACATGAGAAGAGCCCCACTGGATCAGACCACAGGTCTAGCTAGTGCAGCATCCTGTTACTCACATTATTATTATTATTATTATTATTATTATTATTATTATTATTATTATTATAACATTTCTATGCCGCCCCTTGCCGAAGCCTTGGGGCGGCTTACAACACAATACAATACAATACAATACAAAAATAACAATATAAAATTAAAATTAATAATATAAAATAAATAAAAAATATAAACGATATAAAAGAAGTTAGAAAAGAAAAGAAAAGTTGCCCTGGCCAGATAAATAAGTAAATATTTTTAACAATTAAAGTGACGTTTAAATAAAAAGCATGTTTTAAATAATAAAACATGCTTCTGACCAGCCAAGGGGAACAGCCATCCCTTGCCAGTCTCCCCTCACAAGCTTCTCCTCCCTTTATGGTCACAGCAGCAGCCCTTCCAGCATGCTGTAGTGAAGAAGAGAGGGGAAAGCAGGAATATTCCAATAGCACTACTAAAAAAATAAAATTCTGCCTTCTTCCTTCGCTGATCCTTTTTTCCCCTTGTAACTCATGTCTTCTTAAGCCTGCAGGCAGGGACTTTCCTCTTTTACTGGTTGTTTGAAAGCTGCCCCAGAGACTTTTTGGCTAAGGAGCAGGATAAAAACTCTTTAAATAACTAAAGTCTTCCCCTGACCCTGGAGGTGGCCATGAGCTCTTCCATACCCTCCCCATTCATGTGAGAAATCCCCTTTTAAGGCCATCTAAGGCAGAAACCATCTCCTTACCTAGTGACAGAGACTTGTATAAATTATGTCTTATGGGAACAAGTACCTTCATTTGTGTGTCCTGAATGTAGCATCAGTTAGATTCACCGGGTGAAGCCTCAAGTTCTAGTAACACATGTTACGGCACGTTCTAGTAAAAAACCTTACAAGATTCTCAATGACCATTGTGAGCTCGGTTGGGCTAGAAGGGTGAAGACAGGGACACAGGTGGCTGGAACTGGTGGCGGCAGACTGGCCATCCAATTTGCACCTGGTGCTTCCATCACCAGACGGGCTCACGTACGGCCTGTGCAAAAAAGACGAGCACCCATGGTAACCAACAGCACTTAGATGTCCCTCGTATTCTGCATAGATGTTCCTCGTATTCTTCCAGCTGAAGTAACTCCCACCACCGCAGGATGCTTACGACTGCCCTGGGGAAGCAACACACCTGCCTTGTGCCTAAAAAGAAGAGGCCAGAAAAGAAAGAGCGAGTTTTCTCTACATATGTACACACATCTGTCTATCCATCCTTCTATCTATCATATTTGCATGCCTCCCCACAGCCGAAGGCTATGCAGGGATGCCCAGTGCGGCATCCATGGGTACCATGGTAGTGCAGTAACCTCTAAGACACCTGTGAAGGGGACCCCAACATGATGTCTGCAGATACCCCCAAACCTTTCTTCTTACTATTTTTACCTCTCTAGTAATATACAGACATGGAATTGCATATATCCATAGCAAGGGATACATATGAAACACATACAACTTTCTGGCAATTGTATGTAGGCTTCAGGAAAAGCAGTCCAAATAGCCATATAAGTGTACCGGGTACGGTACTGAATCTGCCTTGGTCGCCCTGTACCATGACCTGTGCAGGCAGAAGGACACGGGGAGTGCGTCCCTGTTGGTTCTTCTGGACCTCTCAGCGGCTTTCAATACCATCGACCATGGTATCCTTCTGGATAGGCTAGTGGGATTGGGGGTCGGAGGCACTGCCTTGCAGTGGTTCCGCTCCTATCTCAATGGCCGATTCCAGAAGGTGGTGTTGGGGGACTATGGCTCTGCGCCATGGCAGTTATGCCATGGAGTACCGCAGGGGTCCATTTTGTCTCCACTGCTGTTCAACATTTACATGAAACCGCTGGGAGAGGTCATCAGGAGGTGTGGGCTGCGGAATCATCAGTACGCTGATGATACCCAGCTCTACCTCTCATTTTCCACCAATCCAGGTGAGGCAGTGGCTGTGCTGAAACAGTGCCTGGCCGAGGTAATGGGCTGGATGAGGGCCAATAAACTGAAGCTCAATCCAGACAAGAGGGAGGCCCTGTTGGTTGGCGGCTCAGGCTTCGGCGAGGGTGAATTGAACCTAGTCCTGAATGGGGTTGCACTCCCTCTTAGGGACAAGGTCCGCAGTTTGGGAGTGCTCCTCAACCCAGAGCTTTCACTGGAAGCTCAGGTGACAGCAGTGGCGAGGAGCGCTTTCTTTCAGCTTTGGCTGATCCATCAGCTGCGCCCCTACCTGGAGTACGACTGCCTGGCGACAGTGACACACGCATTGGTGACTTCCCGTCTTGACTTCTGTAACGCACTCTACGTGGGGCTACCCTTGAAGACGGTCCGGATACTTCAGTTGGTTCAAAATAGAGCTGCCAGGCTGCTGACGGGGACTGGGCGTTATGTTCACATGACTCCAGTCCTCCGTCAGCTTCACTGGCTTCCCACTGAAGTCTGGGCCCAATTCAAGGTGTTGGTTATGACCTATAAAGCCCTTAACGCCTTGGGTCCTGGTTACCTGAAGGAGCGCTTACGTCCATATATGCCCACCCACCCCTTGAGATCAGCGGGAGAGGCCCTTCTCCAGAAACCCTCCGTGAAGGAAATTAGGAGGGTAAGTACTCGGAGGAGGGCTTTCTCTGCGGTGGCGCCCAATCTATGGAATGTGCTCCCCAGAGAGGTCCGCCTGGCGCCGTCGTTATTTTTCGGCAACAGGCAAAGACCTTTTTGTTCAAATGTTATTTTAATTGTTAATATTATTTATTAATTTTATTCTTTGGCCAGGGTGACTTAATTTATATTGTTAATTTATATTGTTTTATTGAATTCTATTTATTTATGGTTTGTGAGCCGCCTCGAGGCTTTGGTGAAACATAGAAGTCCCCTAAATGAATGAATGAATGAATGAATGAATGAGTGAATGAATGTGTCCTGCCAAAGCTCATGTCTATATGGAAGAGCTGTTAGGTCCTCGATCCATTGCATGAAAGGAGGGAGGTTTATCTTTCCAGTGCTGCAACAGCAGTCTTTTAGCTGTCCCAAAGGGGCAGAGAATCGATTATCACGGGCAATTTGTTAATCTGCATGAAGCTGATATATAATTCTAGACGTGTGTGCAGCAGTGAATATTAAAGTATGTTCCAGTACAAATTTATTTCTGGAATAACCTCCTCCCAAACAGAAGCAAGTTCTGGACGCTGCCAAAACATATGTTTAAAAGAAGTATCAGCTGTATTGAACCAGCAGCAATTAGCCAAATTAGACAACCCCTTATTAAAGAGATGCTGCAGTGTCCAATAGATGCAAAAGTCTTTCTGAATGAGATGCATCCCAACAGCCATCCATGCAACAGGTAGGTGTCAGAGTGGTGATCCACCAATTAGGCATTTCGTGGTGGTGACCACAGCCGTTTCTCACTCCCAGATGTACCCAGAGGTCCAGAAAGGTTGAGGACACCTACCATAGATTTTTTTTCTCTCCTAATGGCTCTTGACCTTGTAGGCAGGGCTAATTTTGGCTCAGGATGGCTTCACTAATTATCCAGGAAGCTAAGAAGAATAAAAGCAATATGTTCTTAAAGTCCTGTAATCATTTATTAGATAAGATGAAATGAAAGGCGCTCTGGAATAAATGAATAAAGAAATACTTGATCTTTGAATGTAATGACCCAGCAGAATGATGCCTGCTTATTTTTTGAAGCTCTTGCCAAGACTAGTGCTGCAGGCCCTGTGTACTTTTATTTGGAAGCAAGCCCCACTGAACACAGCAGGACTTACTTGCCTGCAAGTGCATTTATGTCCTGGCAATACAAGACTCTCCAGATCCATAGATTACCTATAATCTATTGATTGGTGCCTTCTTACTGATCAGTGTTTTAAGGAATGCATGGTCTCGGGGGATTCCTGAAATTACATCGGGCTGAATCTAAAATTGGGTGGATAGTTCTTCTATTCCACTCACAGATGCTGCCTCATCCCAAGTTCCCACAACATCTTCCTTCCTCCTTAGACCCAGTGCCACAGACTGCTCCAGTCAGCCAGGATTCCTGTCTTTCAAGAGAACATTTTTAGGGGGCTGTGGAGGCTGTTGGAGAGAAGAGTGGGTGGGAAACTCAGGGTGGGTTGCCAAACTAACCCACATTCCTGGCTCAATTTAAAAAATAGCTCACACAAGAAGCAGTCAAGCATTCTGGGGCAATGATCAATATGTCACCCACAGTTGTGAGTGTGCACATGCACGCATGTATATAAACACCTTTCTGGTTGTGAAATCACATACAGAGGCATTTGTCCTTCCCACAACTACTCTGGAATTACAGGATTATATCTAGCTAATGAAATGGCACTGGTGTTAATTAAACCCTGGTGACTGTGTAAAGTACTACAGTTGGTATGTCTTTATGGTTGACACACCTCTGGAATCACTGTCCATACTCCACAGCATTTCCCATTACTAAAAAAGGGTGGTTGTAATGCTTGATCACAGAAATTAAAGGGTTGGATCCAGACTTAGTCATACCTAGAAAAGACCAACTGGAATCAGTGTCCAGTTTACCACAGAATGCTAAGTCAGGATTCTGGTGAAGCTTGCCTGACTGTTACTGGTGTTTGCAGCCTGTTCATTCCAGCTTTATTCCTCCTGCTAGCATGATGATATACTTAGTGTGTTATCCAAATACAGGATTTCAGCTTGTCACACCCTGGACCAGTCAGGACTTTAAACTAAAAAGGACTCACCTTTGTCAGTTGGTGGCATGGGAACTTTCTGGAAGGTCAAACTTATCTGGCCTGGACCTCAGCAGCAGTAACTCCAGCAACAAGAACATCCACTTCTGGCTGGAAAGAATAGTAGCTGGCCTCCTTCAGAGTGTCAACACTGCCGTAGGAGGCGGCAACTCCGGCCTGGAAGCAACAGAAGAGGCCTAGAGGACTGGCCATGGGGTGACACCACAGGGGGTCATCTCTTTGGGGACGGGCAAGGGCAAGACTTTTTGCTTTCTGGCACACACAGAAGAATTAGCTGGCATGTGATACTTCTGGTTTATACTGATATTAGCTCAGTTAGGTGGGTTTGGGCATTTGGTAGGTTTTGGTGGGTCAGCTGTGGTTTGCACTGTGGAAGAAGTTGGGACCAGTATAGATGCAGTGTGGGGCAGAAGGCGTAATGTTGGTGGGAGGTGCTGACATGGTGCACTTTAGCTCCTTCTGGAAGGTACTCCAGTTGTGGTGGCGTGCCTTCACCCCCCTCTAGCCCGAAGGTGTGGCTGATGAATGCCAGGCGGGATCATGGAGGAGGGTGTATCATCCTTGACCTCCTTTCTGAAGAGCAGGCTGACCTGGCCTTTGTTCCTGAAACTTGGTTAGATGAATGGAGGAGGAGTTAATTTCTCCTGAATATGTCCACCAGGGTTTCTTGTGCTGAGCCAAGCTTGACTAGATGGGTGGAAAGGGGAAGAGGAGACTTTCATGACAGGAATTCTACCCCCCTGATCAGACACCCTGCCCCAACACTCAGCCCATTTTGAGTGACTGTACCTGATGTTGGGCACCTAAGACAGGATTATAATGGTGTACCCCACTACCCAGTAAGTCTTTCTGTTTGAGCTGACTTGAGGTGTTCTCAAGGGTGGTATTGAGGGCTCCAAGTCTCTTGGTTTGGGGGGCTGTGGTCTCCTTCCTTCAATATTCATGCTGTGGCTTCCTTGACAGGAACGGCTGAAGATTCCATGTCTCAGGTTATATCTGGCCTAACATGTAGCAGGATGCACTTTCTGGGCTGTACCAGTAACCTCGGCAGGGGTGTGGGACCAAATTGGATTGTTCGCCCCTGGAGGCTGGTGAATCCAAATGGATTTCTAAAATACTGGGGATTGCAGCTGAGGTTCTGGGCCCTGCCTGGAATGAGATGAACCAGGCTATTGATATGATGTGTGTAGAACCATACCAGTTCTTTAGTCATTCTAGGAGCTGAGTGCAGTAAAATAACTATCTCAGTGATTAAAGCAGTGGCAGAAGGCACACAACAGACTTGACTGCACAGGTAAGAATCCATTTGTGATCTTAATCCATGGCAGTATTGGCAGTGAAATCTTTTTTCTTGACCATCATTGCATCTGCTCAGTGCAGCTGCTTTAGGTGGTTACTGGCCTCCTGGGTATACGCTTTAGAACACCAATTTGAACCTTCAAAGGCCTGCAGTGAACAATTGGTTAGACACTTTTGGAGATAAAGTTGCCTGTATCCATGTTGACTTGAATATCATTGTTTTGACCACGTCTGAGATGGATGGGGCTGGAGTACCATTTCGTTATAGATGTACATAGCTGTACTCACCTTGTGCAACCTGAGGATGTAGACAAACTGCTTGGAGGACTGAGCCTACTCCTAGCCCTGTAGGTTCCTCTCTAAGTCTGGCTTGTGAAATCTGAGCTGGACTTGATACCTGGACCTCAGATACTTCTTCGAGGGACAGCAAGGTCCCTGCAACTTTGGAAAAAGCAGAAGTGAGAAACCACATTAGACCCTCTGGCTTCAGATAACAACCAGCCAGTATCAAATTTGCCATTCTTGATCATGTGGTGACCTCGCAACTCTAAGCGGTGTAGCTTGATACTCATTATTTAAATCCATTCCAATAAACTTGCAAACTTAATAATAGAAAAGTAACATCGTTGGTTGATTGACTTATGCCCAAGAATAGATGGGGGGATTGCAACCCTATTCGTTCTTATAGATGTCTCAGAAACTTTTGATACAATTGACCACGGTATCCTTCTAAGGAATTGAATTGAATTGAATTGAATGGAATGGAATGGAATGGAATTGAATTGAATTGAGATGAGTAGGCTCAGTTTTCAGTTGATACTAGTATTTCCTAGAGGAACCGTTTCAGAAGTCAGTGCTGGGGAAGCTACTGTTCCACTCTATAGTCTACGGGGTGTTTCAAGGTCTCATCCTACGCCCCGTGCTTTTAACATCTACATGAAACTACGGAGGGGAGTCACCAGGAGGTTTGCACTGAAGCATAATCAGCTGTACTTCTGATTTCCATTTCTAAATCCAAGGGAGGCTTTGATACTGCTCTATGTGGATAAGAGTAAGCAGTCAGAAACTTAATCCAGACAAGACAGAACACTATGGATTGGATGGAGGTTTACACTTGCCCTAAACAGGGTTACACTTGCCCTAAAAACGTGCATAGTCTGGGATACCTCCTGGACTCAGTGCTAACGGGGGAAGCCCACATGGTTGGGGTGGCCAGGAATGCATTTCACTAACTCATGTTGGAGCACCAGTTGTGGCGCTATTGGGGGAGGACAGACCTTGCCTCAGGTATCTATGGACTAGTGAAGTCCAGACTTGATGGCTGTAATGTGATCTGGATTGGGCTGCCCTTGAATATGGTTCAGAAACTTCAGCTGGCACAGAATGCAGCTGCCCAAGTGCTGCCGACGATGAGATAATCTGATCATGTAATACTGCTGTGGCTACTCTGATTGGCAGCATATTTCTAAGCAAAATGTAAAGGTCTAATTTTTACCCTTAACACTAGAAGGGTCAGTTTGGGACCAAAGTCCTTGAAGGGCCACCTTCACCCAGCTTGTGTGCTCTTTAAGATCGGCCAGAGAGGCCCTTCTCAGTTGCCCACCTATGACAGCATTAGGCTGGTGGCCACATGAGAGAGGGCCTTGTCTGCTGTGGCCCCCCAGATATGGAATAAGTTGGTCCCTGGGGCCCACCAGACCCCATCATTGCAAGCTTTTAAGAAGGCCCTGAAACTTACTACTTTGCTTTGGTCTCCCCCTAATTAAGTTTTATTCAACTTGGTGTAGCTGCAGTAGCACACTGCAAGTTTTATTTATCCTGGTGTTTCCTGTTTTGTGTGCTATTTTCTATTTTATTGTGTTTTTTTGCTGTTTTTACCATTTTAATATCCCGTTGGTTTTCTTATGTATTTTATTGTTGTATACCATGCCAGGGAGGGCTCTTGCTTTGAAAGGCATTGAGGAAATACCTTAAATTTGTTCGTGGCTTACAAATCCTAAAATAGCCCATGGGGCAACCATTTCTAGTTTGTCTGGCTACTTACATTAGTGAGAAGAGCCAGGCAGGAATGAAAGGACTGCATGCATTCAGCTTATTCATGGGAAGCCAGGATATGCCATGGCAATTCATCCCAGGCAAATAAAGCCATGGTGACATAATTTATTACACTTATTAGCAGTTAAGTCATGACTAACTTTAGGCTCATTGATTACAATAGGCACACCTGAAATCCAATTAAGGGTGCGATCCTATTGATGCACATAAGACTCCAAATTTAGGGGCTTCCATGTATCCAATCACTGGAGCTAAGTATTAAAACTGGGTTTAGTCTTCAGCAAGGAAACAGACCTGCCTGTCATCATGGAAAGCTGCTATAGACAGTACAAATTACTCAACATCCATTAGGTTTCTTTCTTTTTTGTAATTTATATAATATGCAACCTTTGGTATAGTTTAATGAAAACATATATAAAGAGTTAGATTCTAGACATACCTTATGCTTGTGAAAGGTCCCTCTGCCTTATTTTGGGGGTCCTTTACTCACACGCCATAGCTCACTCTATTTGTGGGGTGATGCTAGTGGAGAGCTTTGTGAATAGCCTGGAGTCACAGAAAGATGAGCAAGGGAGTCCTGGATCAAATCAAGCTGGAATTTAAGCCCTGAAAGCAAAAATGTCCAAACTGTGCCTGTTGTTCTTGCGACGCATCATGAGAAGGGAAGACTCACTAAGGAAGATAATAATGCTAGGAAAAGTCAGAGGGAGAAGAATTAAAGGAAGACCTAGTATGAGATAGCTTGATTCCATCAAGGAAGCCACAGCCTTGAGTTTACAAGAGCTGAGCAGGGCTGTCAAGGTCAGGACGTTTTGGAGGGGGTTCACTGTAAGTCAGAGGCAACTTGAAGGCACATCGCACACGTCTGATTTCCTGTGCTGTATTCCCGGGTACTGGAGGGGCCACTGTGCGATGGAGGGGGCAGGGAAGACCACTTCTGCTGCTACAGTTGATCCAGCAGAAATCTAGATCAAATCCAAAAACCTCAAAAGCATCACAAATCAAAATAGCATTAAGAGCAGTAACACAAACTATGTAAAGAAAACAAATAGCATGTTATCAAACAGCTTAATTTGGTCATTTAAAAAAACCTCCACCAACATTTAGCACAAAAACCTGTAATGTGCCAAGACTTCCTTCCTTGAAGACTCAGGTGTACAACAAAATACCATGTTCTCTCCTTGGTGCTCTGTTACAATGTGGTAAGTGAAGCAAATATCCCTGGCTAAGGGTCCTAAAAACTCTAACATAGGTGCTATCAACTCTGGGAAAATGCACATCTGAATGGTTGAAGTTCCTGACTTAGCTTTCAGTTCACACCGCAAGACCTGGGCCTCCCTGCACAGGCTTTTGGCCCACTATTTTACTGAGGCTTCTGCTTCTGGATTCTTTGCAGGATTAAGAGTGGCTCCTTTACAAGTGTTTCTTTCCCAGGATTTTTTTCCCTGTCTGTGCCTTTCTATATGTTCCTTTACAGAAGTACAGGAGGTGCTGCAGTACAGCAAAATTGCAAAAATACAGGAGCTTCCCTTTCTAGTTCATTCCATCATGTTCACATAATGCCAGATTTTTATCCCGCAAAATAAAACAGACCCACCACAAAAACACTTGGGAAGCACAGAAAGGGCCCTGGAGGATGGCACTGTTGTGTAAACCTCCTTCAACTACTATGAATCATGAGCACACAATAAATGCCTCATGCAGAAAGCCCTTGCTGTAAGTGGAGCAAACAGTTTGTGCATACCTTCTCCAGTTGTGTAACATTCAGTAAATATTAAATGTACAGATGTGAATAATTTTCTCTGGAAAATCCATTAAAGCACTTACCAGGTTTTCAGATCTCTCTTGTTTTTACAGGATGATGTAAAGACTGGAGGAAGATTCCTTCAGAAAAAGCAAACAACCTTTAGTTCTGATGCTAGTTACAAATCCTTCCTCAAAAGCCACAGTTTTTGCTTCTCAAAATGTTCATTCCTGGTCGTAACCTAAGGTCCTTCAAGATGAGTCTGCCTCATCCATGCCATTTTTACAGATGTCGTCGTCTTCCATTAGTAAGCCTCCCATTTGTTCCCACTGTTTCTTCCATCTTTTGTCTTCTCAAGGCACACACAAATAACATGTCAAGGAGAAAAAGACAAACTAGCTGAACAATGTCTTTTAATTGGTATTGGTAGGAGCCCTCCATCTGGAAGCAGCCAAGGTCATTTTTGTAACTTTGCTCGTCTGCTTCCTGTTACTAAGGCTGTACAGTGTACTCTTTTAATTGGTTCAATTAATTTATTAAAGCGGTTTAAAATATAAATATAAATGTGTCCTGGATTCATTCAATAGCCAATTTTCACAACTGTTCAGTGATTTTAATACAAGCTGTTGCCAGTGAATGTGAGTGGCTGGTGCCAAACCAGAAGCAGTCTTTTCTGCATGGGAGAAGGCGTCTTCCAAAACCATGCCCTGTATGAAGTGTGTGCCTTACATGAAAGCAGCCGCGAGTCAGGCTGCTTCTGGACAAGGCTATTGTGCGGTCCCAGATTGCTGCATTCACAGAATTTTACATGGTGTCCAAACGGCACTGCTTTCTTCTAACAGCCCCCAAGTGTTCTCCCACCACTTTCCCCATCTTTCTCCTTTTCACAAAAATATGTTAGCGGAGTAGGCATAATAGCAGCATCATGTCTTTGACTGGCACTGCTTGGAGCAAACCATCTGGAAGCATCTTCAAGTGCAATGCGATGAGTAGCTTAAAAATAAAACCACCACCAGAAACAAAGGTAGCCATACTGGACCATGAGGAATAAAAAAACCCCCATTCAATGTTGGGCAATTATCTTTGTTAGGAGTTTTGGTTGGTCATAATAAAGGCATTCAGCTATGCATTTTGGCCCTTTAATTAAGAGTTGTATGATGATGATGATGTTTCTAGAACTGAATCTTGCCACATTTGTTGTAGATTTTAGGGTATCAGAAGTTAGAATCCAAGAAGTGTTAAAATAGAAAGTGTTCTAAATTCTCAGAAGCTACACCCCCCCCTCAAAAAAAAAAGGTATTTGAAATAAAATGAGAAGTCAGTATCTTTCTCTCCCACTTCTTTTGGTTCAGGTATTAGGAACAGCAAAGCAACATCCTCCAGCCCTTTAGTATGTTTTAATAAATAAATAAATGTTTAAATAAATACATACATAAATAAATAAATAGTATGGAAATTAAGGATTTACTCAAACCAAATCCATAATGTTCAGTGGGGGAGGAGATACTCTCTAAGAACTGTGTAAGCTTGCAGCCTAAAAGCTCGGGGTCAGTACGGCCTACAATACATTCTTATTATGTCCCTTGCCAGTGTGCTGTTCAATTTGCAATTAAAGGATAAATGTTTAAAGCATCATGCAGCTCACTGCTGGTCTCAAGAACTCCATCCTTTCCATCTGGATTTGGGCCTGAAGGGCCAAGGAAAGGGGTGGGTACCTGGAACACGCAGTTTGGGACATTGCCCAGTTCTGTCCTGAACGCAAGCAAGAGGTTAACTTCTCCTCTATCAAATGTAAACTACAGTAATTCTTTCCAATGCTGTGCATCTATTTGCGTACGTGAATTATCATGTGCAAATCTCTCTCTCTCTCTCTCTCTCTCTCTCTCTCTCTCTCTCTCTCTCTCTCGGGGGGGGGGGGTCGGTTGGGCCCCGGACATTTTCGGTATCTAGTGCCGCCCCCGTTGGGAGCTGTAGTCTGAAGAGCACCAGGCTGAACAAGGGCTGGCACAGCAGAGCCTCCTCAGCGCCCGCTCCTATGGAAGCCAGACCTTGTAGCTCTTCGGGAGTTTCTCTTTTGCAGAGTGACTTTCCTTTTTCCTTTCCCTCCCCCTCACAAACTCGCCAAGCTGCAACGCTGGGGCGCTCCCAGCGTTTTAATCCGCTCGTGCCTTCTGCCGCTTCCTTCCTCGCATCTCTCCCAGCTTCTCCTGACACTCCAGGTTCCTCTCTTTCGCCCTAACCAAACGCAGGCGTGCCAGCAGCGTACTCCGACCATTTCTGCCGTGGGTGGAGTTGCCGGCTGGCCGGCTGCCTGATCACCGATGATTGACAGGATTGGGAGCCAATGGTAAGAGAATAAGAGAAGGGGTGTGCGAAGGTGCGGTGCCGTGCTCTGCCCCGCCGCCGCCGCCCTCTTGGCAGGGAGAAGACCCCCGTTTATAAATGTCTTTTGTTTATGCCGCGCCTGGCAGAAGGGAAGAGGGTACGTTCCGCCTTTCTTGCTAGAGCAGCTGCGTTACTCTACTGCAGCAAAAGCAGCGGAAGTCTTGTGGCACCTTAAAGACTTAAGGCTGCAATCCTATGCAAGTTTAGACGGAAAAATAGGCCTACAACTCCCAGCATGTGGCAGCCATCTGTAATCTGTGCTCTGCTGGCTAGAGCATGCTGGGAGTTGTAGGCCTTTTTTTTCCCCGTCTAAACTTGTACGAAGGTTGCGCCTCAACACATTTATTCTGGCAGATGCTTTCTAGGTCATACATTTGATGACGTGCACTATAGCCCATGAGATCTTATGTCAGAATAAACGTGTTATCTTTAAGGTGCTACAATTTTTTTTAAATTAATAAACTCTCCAGGTGCATTGATTCCTGAAATTAGGGGCATCCATTATGGAATAGTAGTTATAGGCAAAGGAAGGCAAGTAATGCCAAAAGTGTAATCTGGTATGTGCTCATGACTGAAATAATTTTGAATAGAAGGGCCAGGCCTTTAATTTGCCAAAAAAGCAAACGTGCCTTTGTGTCATCCTCCCCCTCCACCCGCAGGCCTTTGTTGTGATTGCCTTTATATCTCTCTATAAAATATCCAGACAAATGTTATAGGGAGGGAGAGAAGGGAGGTAGTATTGAAACACACGTCACTTCCCTATTTATGAAGGACTGTATAGCAAATAAGAGGCAGAGGTCAAGTTTTGCGCACACTGCAAAAGTGCCCTCAGGTTTCCCCATAGGAATGAAAGGACCTCGACTTAATTTTTCCTCCTAAGGGACATATTTGAGAACTCCATTTGGATAGGACTTAAATCTACTCTCTATTCTTGGTGACTTCAGTCACTGAAAATCAAGCTACCCCCTATCTGCATAGTTATAACCCCACCCTTGCTTCTGTTCACTGATCACAGGAATATGTAGATGATACATTGGGAGCTGTTTTATTGGGAGAGGTAATTATTACTCACATCAAACAGGACCTTCCCTTTTCTTTAGGTGCTGTGCCCTTGGCACTCATAGACCTACTGAAGTCCTTATCGATAGTCAAGGCAAGATAATAGGGAGAGCTGAAACTGATCTGAAAGAGGCACAGCTTCCCACAGCACTGCTATATTTCGTTTGTCCATTACTGCCTTTAATGGAGTGAACTGTTGTCTGCGAATGTTTATGTCATAATAAACACATTAACCTTTTAAGCTACCACAAGACTCTTCCTGGCTTTTGATGAACAGGTTTTGCAAGATTGTGAAATAACCTGCTAAACTAAGGCAAAAAGTGGGCTACGTGTACAAACCAGTGGCAGCAACCCCCCTTTTGAATTGCCTTTAGCTGAGGGGATAAGGTTATCCTGTCTCAAGCCACTGAGTGTAAAAATAGAGAGCTGGGCAGAAACGCAGGCGTTCCAGAGGAACCATCCCGTTGTTTGGCAGATGGGGAGATGGACCCAGCTTGCCCCTTCCCAAGCTGCACACTTGAGCAACGCGAAGAATATTTGGTAAATGTAACCAACACAATTCCTTCTTCTCGGAGCATGTAACTGAATGAGCTCCATGCAGTCTTGAATTTCCTTGTCTTAAACTTTGCAACACTTTTTCATCCGTTTTCTTGCACCGTATTGACAAGAAAATATATGAAAAAACCATGCCCAGGCCACATTTGCACCAAACGGAGATCGGGTGCTTGGGTGTCCGCGCTCGCCTCGGGCTGCACGGTGTCCGCAGCTCCTGTTCTGAGTCAGGACAGGGCCAGGTGAAGTAGCCCTCGCCTTTGACGTCTCCTTACTCTCCCAGAACAGGTTCGGGCACGTCCTTCAATGACGCCTAAGAGCAAAGAGCATGCTGGGAGGTGTAGTTTCGTGTGTCCTGGAGGCGAGGCGAGTAGTGACGTAAACGTTTGACGTAAACTCCAGCGCCATAGCAGCAGGGGGTGGGGGTGGGAGTCAACGTAGCAACGATGGCTTATGCTCATTGGCCTGTAAGACGAAGAGGGAGTAGAGGAAGGAAGGTGGATACGGAGTGGGTTAGCTTATAAAGTAAGATGGCGATGAGCAGAATATATTGATCTTGAGGATGTGTGTTTTGAAGGGGGGGGGCACACCCGTGAGCAGACGTGTAGGCATGGGAGGAGCATCTGCAAGGATGGCGGAGGAGGCGGTGGCAACGGCAGGGGATATTAAAATAAAAACAAACATGAGAAGAAATGTGGAAACAGCAGGAAACAGCTGCCAGAAGCGAACAGGGAAACCTGAGAACGACGCCGATGCGACCGGCGAGGTGGGGGAGAGGGAAGAGTGGAGACAGAGAAAAAGGCGACGCATAAATCAGATCTCAAAGCAGCGACAGAAGCGCATGCAAAGCATTAAGGGACAAATGCATTTTTTGGTTGTGTGTCCCAGAGTGGTCATGCATACGCAAACATCTGGGTAGGCGACACGGCTATGTTAGGAGCGTTATCATTTGTGGGTTCAGCCGAACGACAGAGGACAATAATAAAAACCCTCTTGCTGGCAGAAGGATGAAGAAAAGAAAGCGGTAGGCGGGGCTAAGAGATGGGGGGCACAGCGGGGGCGGGGACAGCAGTCATATTGGCAAGAGAGGGAGGCCAATCGGAAGCAGCGGTCGAAGCAGGGGACGGCTGAGTGCAGGTTAGTGGGTGGGGCCAGAGGGCGTTCTGGGCGGAGAGCGGGTGGGCGTAACCACATGGGAGGGAGGGGGCGGGGCGAGGGAGGGCATATAGAGGGGAGGCTGCGAGCGCTCGAGCGCTACAAGAAGGCGTCTAGCAGCTGCTGAGGTGGAGCGCGCTGTCTCTCTCGTCCCGGGGTGTGAGAAGCGCAATCCTCCCTTTTCCTTTCCTAGCGCCCTTTCTGGGGTATGGGGTTTCGATACTGAAGCCCCCCATTCTTTCCTTCAACCCCCACTCCCCGGGACTCTCACCGGGCTTGTTTGCACTATTCACGTCACCTTCCCCACTCACCCCGGGTGAGTATCTGCGTGTGCGAGCGGTGGTGGAGCCTCCCAGCTTCTGTCAGAGCCGGTGCTGAGGGAGATCGGGGGTGGGGGGGATAACAGCGGCGACCTGACCTAGGCCTCCCCTTACGGGGAGAGGAGCAGCGGCCTGCGCGTGAGTGTGTGTGCGCGTAGGGCGTGGGTGTCGTGGGCTACCGCACCCTCCTCCTCGCTGGTTCTGCATAGCCCCACAGAGCGGCGTCGATGGAGGGTGAGGTGGGGTGGGGGGGCTTCCCTGCCAGCCCTGCTGGCGGAGAAGCGACTGAAGGGCTGGCGCAGCCCGTCTGGGCGGAGGGAGGGCAGAGGAGCCCTTGGGGTGGGGGTTGGCACCGCCCCACGGAGGCGGTGTGGGTGTGGGTCGGGGTGGCGAGGACGCGACCGGCCGAGGACGGAGGCGAATAGGGTGTGGGCAGGAGGGCTGACAGGACGGCGCTGGCCGAGGGTGTTGACACAGCCGTGCAGCGGGAGGCGGACGCGGAGCGAGGAGAGGCGCTGGCAGGCGCAGCCCCTCCGCGGCGGCGCTGGCGGGGAGAAGGAGGGCTCGGCGGAGAGTGTTGCTGCGAGGCTGCCTCGCGCAGCGAGGGGATCCGAGGGGGACGGGGCGGGGCGCGGTTGGCACGGCGCGCTCCCCGCCTCCCCCCGAGGGGAGCCGTGGCTGGGAGGGAGGCGGCTTCGGCTGCCTTGGCACAGCCCCTCCCCTGGCGGTGGGAGGGGGAGCGGGCTGAGGAGTTGGGACGGCCCCTGGGTTGGGTTGGGTTGGGTTGGGTTGGGGGCGGCGGCGGCGGCGGCGGGGGGCGAGCGCCGTCGGAGAGCCGGAGGGGGGGCGAGTTGGCCTGATCCCACGGAGAGGGAGGTGCAGGGGGTGGCGGCCGGGGTTTCGAGACGGTGGTAGTTGGTATGAGGCTGAAAGGCCAGTTTGCCGTCTCTGGCCCTGAGGGTAGGACTTCCATCAGGTAAGGTGGGATGTGTACTGCTGGGAGAGTAGCACGGTGGCTGTAATTTAGGGAATGGGACACTGAAGTTAGTGGCCCAGCCTTTATACGGGAAACGGATGGGAAATTACAACGATCCATATGAACAGGGCTGAAGGGGGTTATAAGGCAGGCTCACCAACATCTTTGCTGACACCTGTTAGGTCAGGTCAAAAACTCAGGTTTAAAGCCGTCTGCTGCTGCTGCTGCTCATGCTGTGAAGCATACCCATCGTAAAAGCAGAGCCAGGCAGGAGGCCACTGGGAGTGAGACAGTGGAGAGCTGGGCCTGGCTTGGCTTAGCTTGACCAGGAGGGAGAGGGAGGACTTGGCCAATCATCTTCCACTTCATAGAAAGCACTTTTCCTCCTGCT